GCTGCCAAGAATTCAATGACTGCACGTTGCTTAAGTCACACTGATCGACTGCCTGTGCAGGGTTCCATACTTTGCACTTTAACAACACAACCATTCAATGTTAAGGCTTCCCGCGAAAATGGAACTGTAGAGGAGAGTCTACTGAACAAGCCAGTACCTGCCGCATACCAGTACTGCCATCTGTTGAGGAGTTACAAAGGTCCGTTCAATGCTAAGGCTTCCTCCCAAAGTGGAACTGTAGAGGGGAGTCTACTGAACAAGCCAGTACCTGCTGCATACCAGTACTGCCAACTGTTGAGGAGTTACGAAGGTCCATTTAATGCTAAGGCTTCCCGCCAATGTGGAACTGTAGAGGGGAGTCTACTGAACAAGCTAGTACCTGCTGCATACCAGTACTGCCATCTGTTGAGGAGTTACGAAGGTGGAGGCATTACTTTTCATTCAACCCTCATAGATAGATCTTAGATGATGCAGTCCAAAAACAAATTACACCCAACTTCCAAATGACTCATCGTTAAGAGACAATAGGAAATTAGAGAAATCTGGCCCTTGGAAGGAAAGCAAATCCACTTCTGGAAGAGTTATTTGCTCCTGGGTTATAAATGTCATTTCCTAATTGGTTCTATCATAAAAACATGGAACAAGTTTGTGAAATTGCAAAACCTTTTTCAAAACATCCTGCAACACATTTTGCTATAGTTTGTTCAATGAATATCTCATAGAGTCTCAACCAATTAACCACTTTGCTATTTAACTGTGCAGAAGAAGGCATTGCATTTTGTTCTGCAATGTACGTACAATGACAATACAGTTATTGGGTTGTATTGTCGAAGGCTTTCATGGCTGGAATCACTAGGTTCTTGTAGGTTTTTTCGGGCTATAGGGCCATGCCTCTAGAACATGGCCCTATAGCCCAAAAAAACCTACAAGAACCTAGTTATTGGGTTGTTGTGGGTTTTCCGGGCTGTCTGGCCATGTTCTAGAAGCATTCTCTCCTGACATTTTGTCTGCATTTGTGGCAAGCATCCTCAGAGGTTGTGGGGTTTATATTGAAACCTGTTCCACCTCCCGACGCTTTAGGCCAATGGGAGCCTTTCTTTGGACTGCATCTGTTATACGCTGAATGTGGATGGACAGACTATGGACCAGAGCAGGAGAGAGGTGGAAGGGCTTCTCTCGCAAGCCAGTCGCTGCACAGACTGGATGGGCACTGCCAGTTCCTCCCATCCTCTGCCATGATCCGGTACAATGAGACAGCCCAGAGGCCCAGCGCGGCATTGTCTGGGAAACCACCGAATCATAGAATCATAGAATCAAAGAGTTGGAAGAGACCTCCTGGGCCATCATCCAGTCCAACCCCATTCTGCCAAGAAGCAGGAATATTACATTCAAATCACCCCTGACGGATGGCCATCCAGCCTCTGCTTAAAAGCTTCCAAAGAAGGAGCCTCCACCACACTCCAGGGCAGAGAGTTCCACTGCTGAACGGCTCTCACAGTCAGGAAGTTCTTCCTCATGTTCAGATGGAATCTCCTCTCTTGTAGTTTGAAGCCATTGCTCCATTGCGTCCTAGACTCCAGGGAAGCAGAAAGGAAGCTTGCTCCCTCCTCCTCCCTGTGGCTTCCTCTCACATATTTATACATGGCTATCATATCTCCTCTCAGCCTTCTCTTCTTCAGGATAAACATACCAAGCTCCTTAATTTGCTCCTCGTAGGGCTTGTTCTCCAGACCCTTGATCATTTGAGTTGCCCTCCTCTGGACACATTCCAGCTTAGAGTCAATATCTCTCTTCAATTGTGGTGCCCAGAATTGGACACAATATTCCAGGTAAAGTGGTCTAACCAAAGCGGAATAGAGCATGGGGAGCAGGACTTCCCTAGATCTAGACACTAGGCTCCTCTTGATGCAGGCCAAGATCCCATTGGCTTTTTTTGCCGCCACATCACATTGTTGGCTCATGTTTAACTTGTTGTCCACGAGGACTCCAAGATCTTTTTCACACGTACTGCTCTCGAGCCAGGCGTCACCCATTCTGTATCTTTGCATTTCATTTTTTCTGGCAAAGTGGAGTATCTTGCATTTGTCACTGTTGAGCTTCCTTTTGTTAGTTTTGGCCCATCATCTCTCTAATCTGTCAATATCATTTTGAATTCTGCTCCTGTCCTCCGGAGTGTTGGCTCTCCCTCCCAATTTGGTGTCGTCTGCAAACTTGATCATCCTGCCTTCTAGCCCTTCATCTAAGTCTTGAATAAAGATCCTGAGAAGGACCGGGCCCAGGATGTAGAAGAAGCATTGGTGAGCATCCTCTGGGTTTGTCCATTTAACCAATTCCAGATCCACCTCACCGTAGTTTTGCCTAGCCCACATTGGACTAGTTTCCTTGCCAGAAGGTCATGGGGGACCTTGTCAAAGAAGGCCTTACTGAAATCCAGGTACGCTACATCCACGGCATTCCCCGCATCTACCCAGCTTGTAACTCTATCGAAGAAAGAGATCAGATGAGTCTGGCATGACTTGTTTTTGATAAATCCATGTTGACTATTAGCGATGACCGCATTTGTTTCTAAGTGTTTGCAGACCACTTCCTTAACAATCTTTTCCAGAATCTTGCCTGGTATCGACGTGAGGCTGACCGGATGGTAATTGTTTGGGTCATCCTTTTTTCCCTTCTTGAAGATTGAGACCACATTGGACCTCCTCCATCTGCTGGAACTTCTCCCGTTCTCCAAGAACTCTCTAAGTGTTTGCAGACCACTTCCTTAACAATCTTTTCCAGAATTTTGCCTGGTATCGACTTGAGGCTGACCGGACGGTAATTGTTTGGGTCATCCTTTTTTCCCTTCTTGAAGATTGGGACCACATTGGCCCTCCTCCAGTCTGCTGGAACTTCTCCCGTTCTCCAAGAACTCTCAAAGATGGTTGCCAATGGTTCCGAAATGACTTCCGCTAGTTCCTTCAATACTCTTGGGTGTAGTTGATCTGGCCCTGAAAGGGGACTTGAACTCATTTAGAGTGGCCAGGTATTCCTGGATGACTTGTTTCCCAATTTGGGGTTGGATATCCTCTAATCCCCCATCCACTCCATCTTGCTGAGAGTTGAAGATGACTTTCTTTTTGTGAGAAAACCGAGGCAAAGAAGGTATTAAGTCGTTCTGCCTTTTCCCTGTCTCCTGTCTCTCTAATCTGTCCATCCTTTCCCTGTTGGGAATTGTGGGAGTTGAAGTCCAAAACACCTGGAGAGAGGGCCAAACTTGGCCCATGCCTGGTTTACAGTCTTCATCTCCAAAGAAGAGGTTATTCCTCATCCTGTCTGTGAAATCCATCAGAGAAATATCTAAGAGGAGGGGGAACTGGATGGACAGATGGATGGATGTGTTCCCCATCCTCAGGGGTGTTGACAGTGATGGATCGGGAGGCGGGAGCCACAGTGACGGCGACATCCATCTTCATTTAGGCCAGCCAGGAAGACTTGAGGCTGCCTTGAAAGTGCAAGAACTTTTTTTAAAAAAATGCCAGGTATGAAAGGCAACACAGACAAACCAACTAAAATTCTTGGTATCCTGGTTTTTCAGGCCTGTTCCTGGAGTTCTTAAAACTGCACTGGACAAACCACATCAGCTCTCCTTTCCTAGAACTTATTTTTATCGTGGTGTTCTATGGGCGATGGCACATGTTCTGTATCTCAAAGGCTAGAACTGATACAGTTTCTTAACCTTCCCAATGCTGTGACCCCTTCATACAGTTCCTCATCTTGTGGTGACCCCCCAACTAGAAAATTATTTCCGTTGCTATTTCATAACTGCAATTTTGCTACTGTTATCAATCATAACAGGGAAGTCCTGCTCCCCATGCTCTATTCTGCTTTGGTTAGACCACACCTGGAATATTATGTCCAATTCTGGGCACCACAATTCAAGAGAGATATTGACAAGCTGGAATGTGTCCAGAGGAGGGTGACTAAAATGATCAAGGGTCTGGAGAACAAGCCCTATGAGGAGCGGCTTAAGAGCTGGGCATGTTTAGCCTGAAGAAGAGAAGGCTGAGAGGAGATATGATGATGGCCATGTATAAATATGTGAGAGGAAGCCACAGGGAGGAGGGAGCAAGCTTGTTTTCTGCTTCCCTGGAGACTAGGACGCAATGGGAACAATGGCTTCAAACTACAAGAGAGGAGATTCCATCTGAACATGAGGAAGAACTTCCTGACTGTGAGAGCCGTTCAGCAGTGGAACTCTCTGCCCCGGAGTGTGGTGGAGGCTCCTTCTTTGGAAGCTATTAAGCAGAGGCTGGATGGCCATCTGTCAGGGGTGATTTGAATGCAATATTCCTGCTTCTTGTCAGAATGGGGTTGGATTGGATGGCCCAGGAGGTCTCTTCCAACTCTAGGATTCTAGGATTCTATAATGTAAATATCTGAAATGCAGGATGTATTTTCATATACAGGACCAAATAGGGCACAAATGTCCGCTACGCTAACATTTAAAAACTGGTGGGGTTGGGGGGCAGATTGATTTTGTCATGTGGGAGTTGTAGTTGCTGAGATTTATAGTTCACCTACAATCAAAGAGCATTCTAAACTCCACCAATGATGGAATTGTGCCAAACTGGGCTCACAAAACTCCCACGACTAACAGAAAATACTGGAAGGGTTTGGTGGGCATTGACCTTGAGTTTGGGAATTGTAGTTCACCCACATCCAGAGAGCACTGTGGACTCAAACAATGATGGATCTGGGCCAAACTTGGCACAAATACTCAATATACCCAAATGTGAACACTGGTGGACTTTGGGAGAAAATAGACCTTGACAATTGGGAGTTGTAGTTGCTGGGATTGATAGTTCACCTACAATCAAAAAGCATTCTGAACAATGGTGGATCTGGACCAAACTTGGCCATGAATGCTCAATATGCCCAAACATGAACACTGGTGGAGTGGTTCAATGTGAACACTGTTGGGGTGGGGTGGGGTGGAGTAGGAAGGGAAGGAGGAGACTCACGTTCACACTCAGCTACGTCCAGGTTGAACTGCTGCAGGGCCCCCTGCGAGAGCTGCCGGACTTCGGCTTCCAGGAGCAGCTGCATCAGCGAAGTGGCCAGGTGCTTGCAGGCCGACATGCAGGCCGTCTGGGCCACCTTGCCCTGGAAGAGAAGCCATGGGCGGTCATTAACTCTTGAAGTCACAGGTCCATAGTTTGGGGTCCTCCTGGACTCAGAGCTGATGCTAGATGTGCAGGTGGCCAGGAGAGCCTTCGCACAATTAAAATTCGTGCGCTAACTACAAACATACCTCGTGAAGTCTGACTTGACCATGGTGGTCCACGCCTTAGTTACCTCGACTGGATTACTGCAATGCACTCTACGTGGGGCTACCCTTGAAGATGGCCTGGAAATTACAACTCAGCCAGCTTAATAACTGGGGCGAATTACAGGGAAAGCTCAACTCCCCTGTTTAAGGGGCTTCATTGGCTGCCGTTTGTCTTCCGGTCCCAATTCAAGGTGCAGGTTATCACCTACAAAGCCCTAAACGGTTTGGGACCCGCCTTCCTTCGTGACTGGATCTCTCTCCATGAACCAGCCCGCGCTCTTAGATCCTCAGGGGAGGCTCTCCTTTCGCCCTTGCCATTATCACAGGCTCATCTTGTAAGCACAAGGGAGAGAGCCTTCTCCTCTGTGGCCCCCCAACTCTGGAACTCATTGCCTGGTGAGATTGGGAAGGCCCCCACCTTAGAAACTTTCAAAAGGGATCTCAAAACCTGGCTTTTCTGATGTGCTTTTGGAGAGTAGCCATATTATCATACACATTTGCTCCCCCTCAACGGTCTTTTGTCCCCAGAGTATATTTCCCCACCTGTTGTTGTTGTTCATTCGTTCAGTCGTCTCCGACTCTTCGTGACCTCATGGACCAGCCCACGCCAGAGCTCCCTGTCGGCCGTCACCACCCCCAGCTCCTTCAAGGTCAGTCCAGTCACTTCAAGGACTGTATGAAGGCCTATATTTATGACCCCGTTCCTTACGAGTTTTTCCCCCACAAACAATCTGCTCCATCCCTGTCTCATTCTGATTTTAGTATTTTTAGTATCTTAGTTTTATCTTGCACATGTGGCCCACTCATTGTTATGTTATTTTATTTTACTGTGTATGATTTTACTTTATTGTTTTTGTTGTATGTATTTTACTGTGTTGTTATTGTGTTTTGGTTCTACTTTATTGTAATACGCTGTTGGGCTTGGCCTCATGTACGCCGCCCCAAGTCCCCATTGGGGAGATGGTGGCGGGGTATTAAGTAAAGATTATTATTATTATTATTATTATTATTATTATTATTATTATTATTATCTCTTGGACTGAGAGCCATTTCTGACAGAGGGAAGGAACCCTGTGTCACAGGTTAAGTCAAGGTGCTTTGCGTCCTGCCTGCCTTTCCCCTTTCTTCTTTCCAAAGTCTTAAATGCAGGCATGGGCAATCTTTCCAGTTTAAGCAGTTGAGGGGGGAAAGGATGTGGATGGAGGCTGTTTGGAATTGTGGGAATTGAAGTCCAAAATACTTACAGGACCAAAGTTTGCCCATGCCTGAATTATAGGGAGACTTGCAAGAAAAGAAAAGAAAACCTGACAACTCTTTAGTTTATTGTCGAAGGCTTTCATGGCCGGAATCACTGGGTTGTTGTCGGTTTTTTCGAGCTATATGGCCATGGTCTAGAGCAGTGATGGACAACCTTTTGAGCTTGGTGTGTCAAAATTTGCCAAAAAACCCGAACATAACTCAGGTGGGGTGTCACTTTGAGAAAAAAAACCCCATAATTTCACGATATTTATAGATCAAATAACCAAAATGTATAATTGTAATCTATAACTGTATTTAATAAACCAAAAACTAATTATTTAACTTACCTGCTTAGTGATTTCTTTGTTCATCCGTCAGTTTCTTTTGTTGGTCTTGCTATTATTTAATGTGTGTGGGGTGCTGTGAACTAAGATAAGCGAGGGGGAGAGGGAATTCTTTAACTAACTTGCCTATTAGTGGTGGGTTACGGCACCATAGCACAGGCCCCCGCCTCTCCCAACCTCCCCCTTCACTTATCTCAGTAATTATGGTCAATTAGAAATCCATGACACCCCAGAACAGTAGATTGGATGATGGTTGCTGTGGTTATGTGGTTGCTGGTAGTGGTGATCATAGGGCCCCCAGAGATGTGTCCCCTGTAGCATTCCACTGCTCCCTGCTCCGCTGGCCAGAAGCAAGGTCAAAGATCCCCTAACAGCCTAACTGGAAGTCCCAGAATTTGACGCTCTGTGCCAGAGTTCTGTTGTTTTTGGCCTACAGACCTCTGGCACAGAGTGTCTACACTACACTACAGCAAATGTTTCATCCTTGGCTCCTGCATCTGTCCGTGCAGGAGCTGAGGATAAAACGTCCTAAAAAGTATGACCCCATACTTCTCTGTATGCGGCCGCATGCAGCCATGTGTCATCAAAAATGGCTATGTGTGTCACTGCTGACACGCGTGTCATAGGTTCACCATCAAGGGTCTAGAGGCATTCTCTCCTGATGTTTCGCCTGCATCTATGGCAAGCATACTCAACCACTCACAACCACTGAGGATGCTTGCTATAGATGCAGGCGAAACGTCAGGAGAGAATGCTTCTAACCTGGACCAGCCCAAAAAACCGACAACAACCCAAGGATTCACAATATTTACACTGTCCGTATAATGTTTTGTGGAGGCCCCCCCCCCCCCCCCGCTTCCCTTTGTCAAATGATGGGAGTGTTTTATTCTTAATACACACAATAACCTCAGCATCAAGACAGCCAGGGATCACCATGAAAAGAGTCATTTCAAAAGAAAAGAGACAGAGAGAGAGCCATCGTTAAGATCTTCCGGGGAGGCCCTGCTCTCGGTTCCGCCGGCGTCACAAGTGCGGCTGGCGGGCACGAGAGACAGGGCCTTCTCGGTGGTGGCCCCTCGGCTATGGAATGCGCTACCGGTGGACATCAGGCAGGCCCCTTCGTTGCTGGTGTTTCGGAGGAGGGTGAAGACGTGGCTCTATGAGCAGGCATTCGGATAGTCTATGCAGTAACAACCAATTCAATAATGACGGCATTGGACAAGGAATGGAAATGGATTATGAGATCGGTATTCTGATTCTAAGTGTGGCGTTGATGATTATGTGTTGTTTGTATTGTGTGTCTTATACATTGTTTAGTGTTGTTTTTTACTGTAAACCGCATAGAGTCGCCGCTTTAGGCTGATATATGCGGTATACAAATGGAGTAAATAATAATAATAATAATAATCCTTTCTTCTATTTCAAGGAGAGGAGACAGGGAGATATTTACAGAGTAATCCTGAAAGCGCTCTGCAACCCCAAACAAGGTCTTGAAGCCAAGCATAGAGAAATACGGCTGGCAGATCGGAACAGGCTTCGGCAGGCTCCGAAACCCCAAAATTGGGAAAGAAGCTGTTGGGGAGTTTGACTTCAAACGGTTGAAAGCCCAGAAAGGATGGGAGCTCAAAGGGACGCCAAAGGCGCATAGGAGAAGCTCCTGTAAACGTTGGAAATGCTGGAAACATGTTGTTGTTGGAAAGGGTTGTTGTTGTTGTTGTGTGCTTTCAAGTCGTTTCAGACTAAGGTGACCCTGAGCGAGGGCCAGGTAAATGACCTTGGGGGGCCATATCCGGGCCCCAGGCCTTAGTTTGAGGACCCCTGTACTAATAGGTAAAATAAAGTGCTCCTGCTTAGATACATCCTATCTTTGTTCACGCCCAGTGTGTATTTTAAAATTTTAATCTATTACACCTGGCCTGACCATAAGGTTTTTAATTTTTTTTGTGTTATTGCTTATATGTGAGTTATATTAATTGTACTGTTTTATTTGCTTGCTGCTTTGTTGTTTACTCATGTGTTGTTGGGCTTGGCCTCATGTAAGCCGCCCTGAGTTACCTTGGGAAGATGGTGGTGGGGTATAAATAAAGTATTACTATTATTGGGTTGTTGTAGGTTTTTCCGGGCTATATGGCCATGTTCTGGAGGCAATTTTCTCCTGACGTTTCGCCTGCATCTATGGCAAGCATCCTCAGAGGTAATGAGGTCACCTCATTACCTCTGAGGATGCTTGCCATAGATGCAGGCGAAACGTCAGGAGAAAAATTGCCTCCAGAACATGGCCATATAGCCCGGAAAAACCTACAACAACCCATGGATTCCGGCCATGAAAGCCTTCGACAATACATTATTACTATTATTATTATTATTATGCAGGGTTGGTCAGGTCAAGGGATTATCTGAGATCAGATAATCTGGGATCAGATCCTGGGATACAGGGCAGTGCAGATCCAGCCTAAATTCAGTTTGTCTTGATTTCCATATTCGTGTCAAGTCAATACAGTTTGGGATAGGATTAGGACAGGGATCCTCAAACTTTTTAAACAGAGGGCCAGGTGGATAGTCCCTCAAACTGTTGGAGGGCCGGATTATAATTTGAAAAAAACATGAATTCTTATGCACACTGCACATACCTTATTTATAGTGCAAAAACACTTTAAAACTATAAAATAATTAAAATGAAGAACATAGAATCATAGAATCCTAGAGTTGGAAGAGACCTTCTGGGCCATCCAGTCCAACCCCATTCTGCCAAGAAGCAGGAATATTGCATTCAAAGCACCCCTGACAGATGGCCATCCAGCCTCTGTTTAAAAGCTTCCAAAGAAGGAGCCTCCACCACACTCCTGGGCAGAGAGTTCCACTGCTGAACGGCTCTCACAGTCAGGAAGTTCTTCCTCATGTTCAGATGGAATCTCCTCTCTTGTAGTTTGAAGCCATTGTTCCGCGTCCTAGTCTCCAGGGAAGCAGAAAACAAGCTTGCTCCCTCCTCCTCCCTGTGGCTTCCTCTCACATATTTATACATGGCTATCATATCTCCTCTCAGCCTTCTCTTCTTCAGGCTAAACATGCCCAGTTCCCTAAGCCGCTCCTCATAGGGCTTGTTCTCCAGACCCTTGATCATTTTAGTCGCCCGCCTCTGGACACATTCCAGCTTGTCAATATCTCTCTTGAATTGTGGTGCCCAGAATTGGACACAATATTCCAGGTGTGGTCTAACCAAAGCAGAATAGAGGGGTAGCATTACTTCCTTA